GCGGCATGTGGGATCTTCCCGGACCAGGGCTCGAACCCGTGTCCCCTGCATTGGCAGGCGTATTCCTAACCACTGCACCACCAGGGAAGCCCCTAGCTCACTTCTTACATTTACCAAAAAGGTTTGATATCTTTTAATTTTAATTAAAAATACTTTTCAGACTTTAAATATGCTAACCAAAATCATGTAGGATATATAATAAAAATTAAAGATGAGTAGGGGGTTCCCTGGTGGTGTAGTTGGTTAGGTTTCGGCACTTTCACTGCTGTGGCCTGGGTTCAATCCCTGATCAGGAACTGAGATCCCGCGAGCCACACGGCCCGGCAAAAAAAAAAAACAAAAAAAACAAAAAACAAAACTTAAAGATGAGTAACAATCAGCACTTTTTTTTAACACAGAATGTCAAAAAAATGTTAATATTAACAATAATCAGCAAAAAGAGAAAAATATGCATGCACAAGGCTATCCATTGTATCTTCTTTGTAATATATTTGGAAACTATCCAAATGCTCATCAATAGGTTGAATAAACTATGGTACATCCACACAGCGGAGTACTGTGCAGTAAAAGTGAATGAAGACTATCTGTAGATACTACTGTGGAGTGATCTCCAATGTAATAAAAAAAAGAAGTTGGAAAAAAGTATTTAAAATTATGCTACTATTTATCCATGAAAGGATGGGTTATGAAATTACAGATATATATTTGCTTATACTTTTTGAAAGGTAATGATGAACTTCAACTTTTTTTTAAATGGCTATAAATATAAGGAGGAAAAGACAGGGATAGAAGATAAACTTCTTTGAATGTACTTTTTATATTTGACTTTAGAATCAAAGGCAATATTTTATATAATTGTAAATAAAATTTTATAGAAAGAAATTTCTGAAATCCAAACATAAAATGAAACAAATAACCTAGTTGTATATCCAGTTAGTATATAAACACATAGAGAAGAACTACTACAAATGAGTTGAAAGCACAGTAATTTGACTATACATCTCTGAAGGATCTACCCTAAGGATTAAAAAATAAAAGCTGGAAAAAAAATTAAACTGTTGGGCTTCCCTGGTGGCGCAGTGGTTGAGAGCCCGCCTGCCGATGCAGGGGACACGGGTTCGTGTCCCAGTCCGGGAAGATCCCACATGCCGTGGAGCGGCTGGGCCCGTGCGCCATGGCCGCTGAGCCTGCGTGTCTGGAGCCTGTGCTCCGCAACGGGAGAGGCCACAACAGTGAGAGGCCCGCGTACCGAAAAAAAAAAAAAAAAAAAAAAATTAAACTGTTTTCAGTAATGATATTATTGGGGGTAACGGAAGTCTTATTAGTCTGAGTCCTAAATTTGAATTGGAAGTATCATTTGGACTCATAATTTATTTCAAGAAGACAATTTTTTCTAGCTCCACCCATTGAGATGGAAATAACCAACCTGACAACAATAAACACTTCTGGCTCCCAGACTGTAGTCTCTAAATACCACTTCCCAGGAAAGGAAGAAAGAGAAGGAAGGAAGAAAGGGAGGAAAATGAGAGAAAAGCTAACTCACTCCTTGGAGAAATGACTGATTCCAGTTCTGACATGGGAAATGTATTACACTGTAACAACTTATTACACCAGAAAGTAAGGAATCTAGCAAAAACTACCAGAGTTGTATAGGAAGGAGTAGAAGCCAGCTTGCAGAAGCTCCCACTGGTCAAAGCTAAAATAATTTGAGCAACAGAAGTGATAATAAATGCCATAGATAGAAGCACACTAAATATGTTTAAAAAATCCATAAGTACATATTGATAAAAAAAATTTGTTTTGGAGAACACTATTTTTAAAACTACTTAGTAAACAGGAAAGAATCAAGCATATATCCTGCCTTGGTGACAAAAAGCTTATCTTTATAGAAATATTCCAGCTAATAATGACGAATGATAAAGTTATTACACACCTTATAAGTGAATGGATCTAGGCAATAATTACCAGTTGCTCCTTAGAAAATAAAAAGAGAAGCAACAGGATATAAGCACCTCCTGACACACCATCTCATATGTAGTCTTGCCAAAGAAAAACTGGATCTAACAAAGTATCTAGATAGATCAACTTACAAGAAATACAGGGGAGAAAGGTGTTAAAATCCACCACAGAGACACACTCAGAAAAATCCAGATCATAAGTAACTCTCTGGACAAAGGACCTGCTTTCTCCAATAACAAAAACAGTAACAAAAAACAGGGTCCTATGGTCTGAATGTTTGTGTCTCCCCAAAATTCCTATGTTGAAATCCTGATGCCCAAGGTGATGGTATTAGAAGGTGAGGCCTTTGGGAAGTGATTAGGTCAGGAGGGTGGAGCCCTCATGAATGGGATTAGTGCCCTCATACAGAAGGCCCACAGAGCTCCCTCACCCCTTCTGTCAGGAGGGAATACAATGAGAAGTTGCCAATCTGGAAGAGGACCCTCACCGGACCATACTGGCACCATGATCTCAGATCCAGCCTCCAGAACTCCAGAATTCGGAGAACTCTGAGAAATATATTTCAGTTGTGTATAGCCACCCAGTCTATGGTATTTTGTTATATCAGCTGAATGGACTAATACAGAGCGAGAAGAAAAGGGAATGGAAGAGAAAGGAAGGGAGGGGAAAGGATGGAACAGAGAGGCTGAAAGGAGAGTAAGAATATAAAGAGGCTTAAGATTTTTAAAACAGTGGGAATTCCCTGGTGGTCTTGTGGTTAGGACTCTGTACTTTCACTGTCAAGGGCCCAGGTTCGATCCCTGATTGGGGAACTAAGATCCCACAAGCCTCACGGCAAAACAAAACAAAATAAAACAAAACAAAACAAAAAAACCAGAGTTTAAAAACAGAGATCCATGGGGAACTTATTTGAAAAATGATCCAACAACAAACAAATTTAAAAAAAAAAGACAACTATCCTAATTGGAACAATGACTAGCTATTTGATGAATTTTTATTATCTTTTTTTAGATGTGGTAGCAGTGTTTTGGTTAATTTTTAAAGAATTCCATGAATACTGAAATATTTATGATATTTCATGTGATATCTGGGGTAACTGGTGAAACTGATAATAGTACATGGGGGTTCTTTATACAAATCTATTTTATATTCAAATTTTTTTTCAAAATCAAGTGGGGAAAAAACACTTCCCAATTCAAACAATCTGCAAGTGTGTGTGTGTGTGTGTGTGTGTGTGTACCAAGAAAATGTGAACAGTGACTGATATGTGTTAATATTAAGAAATTGTTGTTAATAGTTTTAGGAGTGATAATGATATTCTGGTTATAATTTTTTTTAATGAAATAGTTACAGATGAAATAACATCTGGGATTTGCTTCAAGATAAGCCAGGGCTGGGGGAGTTAAGTGGGGTATAGTTTAAAAGGACTGGCCAGGGGCTTCCCTGATGGCGCAGTGGTTAAGAATCTGCCTGCCAATGCAGGGGACACAGGTGCGAATGCTGGTCCAGGAAGATCTCACATGCTGCGGAACAACTAAGCCCATGTACCACAACTTTTGAACCTGTGCTCTAGAGCCCGTGCTCCACAACAAGAGATGCCACCGCAACGAGGAGCCCACACACCTCAACAAAGAGTAGCCCCTGCTCGCCACAACTAGAGAAAGCCCATGTGCAGCAACGAAGACCCAACACCGCCAAAAATAAATAAATTAATTAATTTAATTAATTTATAAAAAATAAAAAGACTGGCCAGATATCAACAATTGTTAATGCTGAGTGATAGGTATATATTGCTATAATTATACAATTCACTCTGCTTCTGTATATATTTGAAATTTTGCATAATAAAAAGTTTTTAAAAATAGGCTTTTCATTCAAATCTTGATGTAAGATTTCTAAAATTTCTGCACTTATCCCTCTCTCAACTCAAAGCTCCTTAAAGACGAAACCCTGTCCATCTTGTTCACCATGGTGTCCTTGGTGACTAACCCAATGCTGGTATAAAAGAATAAATGTGAGGTCAAGTCCCTGGTTAGCAATGTTCAGCAATGACCATGACTGTTCTATTCTGTACACATCCTCAGTGCTGCAATTCAATCAATATTCGTGGTACAGAAGTTGGACAATTTACTTAACCTCCCTGAGTCTGAGGCTTCTTGTCTGTAAAGTGGAAATAATATCTCACCAAGTTGATCTGACATACTGTGGTTAAAAGGACTTCATGTGGCCATTCATTTGTTCATTCATTCCACAAATATTTATGAATTCTAAAGTCCTACAAAAAGTATGGAATAATCGTTCCCATAAACAGAGTAGTATTAATAAAATAACATAAATATTAGCTAAATGTAAATACTCATTCAACAAACATTTATGGAGTTTCTGCTGTGTACTAGGCACTGTGCTACATGCTAAGAATAACTATGAAGGTAAATATGGCACACACACACAAAAAATTGTTTTTGACGAAGTTTTCTGTCACAGGAATGATAACAGAGAGAATAAGATTACAATGAGTTGGCAGGTGACAAACTTCAGTGCAAGAGGAACACAGCCCACTCCCACTGGGGACATTCTTCTACCCAAGCTGGTTTCAGGAAAGAAATCAGTTCCCTTAACCTCTCAAAGATATAAATTTCAACTCCCAGATTAAAGCCACCATGAGATAACTGTCTTTCACTTATTCACTGCAGTAAAGCTATAGATTCTTTCTAAAGACCACAGCCAATGCTGGAAATCTTCCGAAGAATTAGATTCTTTTCTTTTTCTGGGGTTTTGCCAGCAGTCCAAACCAAAAGACCCAAATGGAGCTATTGGCTCATCCATGTAATATTAACTGCCAACTCCCTTCTCCCAGAACATAATGCAGCTCTATTTGAAAAAGCCCCCTCAGCAACTTGTTCCATGTCAATCAATGGCCAAATTAAGAAAGGACGCAGATCTGAGTCTTTCAGATCCAATCCCAAACATAAAACCAACTTCTCTTCCATTAAGAACAGGATTTAATAAATCATGTAAAAAAATTATTTTTAATAACTTACCTCAAATTCTTCCCAAAAGCCTTGTTTGACTTTATCTGTGGTCTCAGCTAATTTGCTTAGTTCTCGAACCCGACTTTCTATTTCAGCAGCATTGATACGAGTTGTGTTGAGGGGCTAATCAAATTCAGCAGTTGGTGTGAAATGAAGAAAGTATTACAGAAAAAAGTGTTAATGCAAAAAAAAAAAAAAAAAGACTTCTATGTTGGTGTTCATAGAGGCAAGGACAGGAAGTTCACAGTAAATGTTTTCAAATAGAGTTTCACTTTCCTTTCTGTTCTTTCAGGAAATATATGTTTCTTCAATCTCCACACACTTTGCTGATATAAATTCAACCTATTTTTCTTTATAAATAGACCACAGTGTTAGAGATGGTATCATTTGCCACTAAGTAATAAGTGTGAGCTTTGAAACAGCAATAACTCCAAAATGTAAAGGTATGATCACCTAAAGGTAACCAAAGGTGCATCTACAATGAAAATTTGATAAAAACTTTGCTTTAAAAACTCCATAAGGTCTTTTAGAATTACATACGGAGATAATCATGAAAATGATGTACTATCTAGAATTTGTTTCCAAATACTACAAGAAGAAGGTAGTGAGTGGAGTAATAAATGAAACAAGATTTGATGAGTTGATCGTAATTGAAGCTGGGTGATGGGTACATGGAGGTTCACGATACTATTCTACTTCTGTCTGTTTGGAATATTCTATGTTCGGACTTCTTAAACTCTATAAGGAGGGGGAGTTTAGCTTTCCAAAATGCTTACCTGCTTGAGTTGTAGTACTGTGCCCAATGTTTCTACCATAGGATTCTTCTTGTAATGCTCCACGAGATCTGTCAAAGAGTCAAACCGTTCTCCTCCACCAACATCATATTTCAGTTCCTTTCAAGACAAAAAAAAAATTATGTTCATGACCTTTATGTTAAATTACTGTTTTTCCCAACTCAAGTACAGAGACTAACTCTCCCCCAATAATGGAAAGATTGAAGAGCTGTAAGAGCACAAAGAAAGGGAAGCAACAAAGATGATGAAAATGGAGAAGCAGATCCAATGTAAAAGAGTTCATTGTGAGGTGTGAGAAGCTCTAAATAAGTATCCAACATTAACTAGGCCACAAAAAAGTTTCTCCCTCATAGGCTAACTAAGTAGCTAGAAAAAAAGAAAAAGAAAAACCATATTTACTATTTACTTATACTCTAGGCTAAGTGACTATACACAAGGCTGCTGAACAGAAGATAAATTACTACTTCTCTCTGAAACACAACAAGCTCTAAGGCTGGTGAGGCAGCACTGAAGTCCAATATACAAGCCTTTACTTCCATCTTCTAATGAAAATTTAAAAGGGAAATTATAAACAGAGACCAGAAAATTTTTTCTGACAAGGAGACCAGAATAGGCTGTTTCAGGAAAACAACAGGAAAATGGTTAAACTTAGAAAATACAAAACCCTAGAAATGATACATGAAGATATTTGGGTATGACCTTTTATTTAAAAATAAATCGAGTGAGGGGGGAAGAAGCACTTTCAGAATGACAGAGTAAGGACTTCTGAAAATCTGCTCTTTCACAAAAGTAACAAGAACCCTGGCAAAAATTGTCATCAACTTTTTCAGAACTCTGAAAATTAACCAATAAAGTTCAAGGAGCATTTATTCAAGAAAAAGATTGGACCTTGATGAGAACAACAAATTGTGGCCTTTTAACTTGCCCTATTCCCACCTACCTCTCCCCAGCTTCTTGGTAGCCTTGAAAACCAATAGTCTCATAACTACAGTAGCTGTGAAAACAAAGCAGCTTAGCATAACTGGAGTAGACAGATGGATTTGGAGCTCTTTCCAGACCTATCCCTAGACAATTATCACTGATCTGTTTAGCAGCTCCCTGGGAAAGCCTTATTTTCAGAGCTTGTCTTTATTTGATTGACTTACAGCTTACTCAGCCAGCCTTCAGGGGATCTCCCAAAAACAATCAGCAGCAATTGTTTAATATCACAGCGGCCTAAGGGAGCAATACCAGTCAGGGCAAATAAGAGACTGATCAAAAGCTTAAAAGGAAAACCCAGACATCGTCCACAGGGGGCTCTGAAAACCTCCAACATACCCTTGAGAATCTAGAAGGACATGTGCATGTGCACATGCATGGCTGTGTGAAGTCCAGGAAAGATCCAAAAAGGCCCTAATCTTTACGTCTAGCTCATCCTGAGGTTCTGTGCAAGCAGGAAGTGAAGACTAAGGCAGAGTTTTAAGATGCCAGAGCACTGAAGGCAGTCGTGCCCCAACACACACACACACACACACACACACACACACACACACACACAGCCTCCCTGGCAAAGGCTGGGAGATTTAATGTTTCAAGGCATTTAAGGAAATCTCTGTTCAATCATTAACTGATCACTAAGCTACCCAAGCAAAGACTTCAGTGGCCACACAAGACAAAGACAGGAAAGTCACTGAACACACAAACAGCAACAACTACAGGAAGAAGAAAAAGTAGCAACAACAAATAATACTGCCTGAGAAAGGAGGGCAAAGGATTTATATTATATTATTTAAAATGCCTAGTTTCCAACAAAAACTTATGAGACATGCAAAGAAACAAGAAAATATGGTCCATACTTGGGGGGAGGGTGGGAAGCATTCAACAGAAACTGTCCTTGAGAAAGCCCAGACAAAGACTTTAAACCAGCTAGTATAAATATATTCAAAGAACTAAAGGAAAGTATAAATTAAAAGAAAGTATGAACATGATGTCTCATCAAACAGAGAATATCACAAAATGATAAATACATAAATGTATATAAATATTCATAGCAGCATTATTCATAATAATTAATGGGCCAAAATGCCCATTAATTTTTTAATGGATAAACAAAATGTGGTACATATCCATACAACAAAATGTTTGCCAATAAAGAGTTTACTGACACATGCTATAACATGGATAAACCTTGAAAAACATGCTAAGTAAAAGAAGTCAGTCACAAAAGGCCACATATTACATGATTCCATCTATATAAAATATACAAAATAGGCAAATCCATTGAAACAAAGAGGTTAGTGGTTGCCAAGAGCTGGGGGGAGGGGGAAAAATGGGGAGGGACTGGTAATGAACCCAGGGTTTCTTGTTGGGGTGATGAAAATGTTCTGGAATTAATGTTGCTGGCTGCCTAATTTGTGAATATACTAAAAACCACCAAATTGTCCACTTTAAAAGGGTGAATTGTATGGTGTGTGAATTATATCTCAATAAAGCTGGGTTTTTTGGTTTTTTTTTTTTAATCTTATTGAAAAACCGAAGCAATAAACCAACCTCCCTGGTCTAGCCATCACATTAAAAACAAGAAATGGTGAGTTCAGTTCTCCCAGCCTTAACCAGAATTCTATAATATGAAAGTACATGTAGTCACAGGCTAGACTGTGCTGACCCAAGGGAGAAGATGAGGCCATCGCTTTAGAAATTGAGACAGAGGCAGACTCCAGCTGTAACCAAGCACAGACTGAGATACTGCAGGGCTGGGAATTCCCTGGCGGTCCAGTGGTTAGGACTCCATGCTTTCACTGCCAAGGGTTCAGGTTCAATCCCTGGTCGGGGAACTAAGATCCTATAAGCTGCGTGATGCAGCCAAAGAGAAAAAAAAGATACTGCAGGGCAGAAGGTGACGTACTGAGGCATGACTTAATCTGCCAGAGATAGAGAGGAAATAAGTAATTTAATAAAGTTCGGAAATGATGAAACAGTTATAATTAACAAGGTACTAAAAGTGTAGAAGCCCTTAACTAAATGACTTTGGAAGTAATGGTGTCGGTCTTCTCCCAGCCAAAAAACCACCCAAAGATGACGTTTCGCCAGACCCACAGTTCAATCCGGGTTTTACCTGACAGCGGATCATAACATGGGTCACTTTAGACTTGCCGTCATTGCTCTCCCCTTTGTCATCTCCGGTTCGGACAGAGAGAACAAAATCTCCAGGGTGGCTCTGGCTCTCCCGCACAAGAAAGCTACCGTGTTTTCCTTTCTCGGTTAATAATTTCTCTGCTTCTTTCCCAGACAGATGTCCATGAAACCACCTAAATTTTTTTAAATGAAAAATCAATTGAGTTCTGCCATGCATTCACAACATTCTTTCACAAAACTACCGTACAGTCACCTCTACTCAACACAATTAAAAACAGGCACGTTCCTCCAAGAGATTTATCCATTCCACATAAGACAGAATTTGCATCCCAAGCAGGCAGGAAAAATGACAATGGTTAGGATTCCGGGCTTTCACTGGCATGGCCAGGGTTCAGTCCCTGGTCAGGGAACTAAAATCCCACAGATCACGTGGTGCGGCCAAAAAAAAAAAAAAAGAATGACCATTAAACTCCTTAAATGAGCCCACAATCATTTGGAGGCAAATATCCTCAATCTTTCCTATTTTCTTTTAAATCCCCCATCTTTTAAAAAGGCAGTTTGTCATTTCTCTACTGCCAAACCCTAAAAGGACCAACTATTTAATTACAGTCATTTAAAGAAGTTATAATAGAGAGTTATGGTAGCGACAGAGAACCATTTGAATGTTTGCCCTTGCTTTGGCATGCAAACACTACATTAAAAAGGATCTTCATTATAAATTAGTTCAGGCATTCCAAGCTTTTCCAGATTTCCAATCTATACTTCAATAGCCTCCAAGTTTGCTGTCAACATCCTTGTACTATCCACTGGGTCATCATTTCAAATTTTAATGCACGTAAGACTTGGAGTAGAGGCAAGGGATTTTGCTAAAAATGTGAATTCCCATGCCTCACAATGAGAGATACCAATACACTAAGTCTGAATGGGGCCCAGCAATCTGCATTTTTAACCAGCACACCAGAGTCCTAATGTAGGCCGTCTGAGGTCAGACTGTGAAACAGTGCTACTCTAAGTTACTACAGAAAACATCTTAACATAGTCATATTAATAATGTGGCTTTTTCCCTCAGGATCTTGGTGAGGAAACAAGCATGATCACAGCACATAGTGCTAATGGCTCAACACTAAAGGAATATACTTCGAGGTATTTTTCATCTACCCTCAACTGAACAGAGTAAAATTAAATAAACTGCACAGAGTTGGCTGACAGCCTTTTGCTAAATAATGTGGCTGGAAAACAAATTATCAGCATAAAATACCAGTGACACGAAGGTATAAGTAGAAGAAACCTACCTGAAGACAGAAAATATTCAAACCTAATTAAGAGACCCTGATTTGGTACTGAGTCAGAGAGAAGAGACTGGGAATGCAGAAAACCAATAAAATTAATGCAAGTTAAGTCAAGCCCCAGCTTTCATCAGCTTAGTTCCAACACTGGGGAAAGATCTCTGAAATAATACGATTCCCTCTAATTAGGGTCATTCTCACACATTTGTGGATATAACATAAAAGAACTGATGAAAAATCTGACCGAGTCCTCTGCTTTCCCACTTCTGAGCTTAAACTGACATCTGTTGGTGGCATTGCTGAATAGCTGGTCAGAAGCTACTACAGGGAACTGCTATTTTGGTGTTCCCATTATCATTTGTTTTCCTCTCCTAACGCTCAAAGTTCGATAATGCTCAAGGTCAATAATCTTAAAATTATTGCATGTATCCAGTATATACAGGAATAGTCTGAGACTTCTGTAGAACGAGTGTAAGTAACACTGACTGAAGCTTTTGCCAGAAAAGGCCCCTCTGAGAATAATCTGATCCTATTACTCTTACTTTAGTAACACTTTTAAGATTACAGTTTGAGAAACAGAAGTCAAACCCCCATAATGCATTCACCTCACACCTATGGCGTGGGAGAGATGCAGACTCTGCAGTTACGAAAATGTAACTGACCTTTCAGAGGTAGGATCTGCACAGTTCAGAGGATATTTGAGCTCAATAACATCTCCATTCTTCTCTTTTAATTGCCCATGATGTTCCATGTAATACTGGACCAATTCAGCCAAAGTGGCAAACTTCTCCCCTCCATACAAGTCATAGTAATCACCAGTGTTCTGAATCTTGATGTGGGTGACAGCTCCATTTCTTCTAAAATAGTACATTAGAAAAGTGGGGGTAAAAGACAAATAAAGAGCTACTAGTAAAAATGGATCTCATATCCGTTATCAGATTTCACCTAAACATTGAAACAAACCCAAGGAATGTGCAAGTTTACGCTTTTCCTAAACAAATGCAGTGAGTGAAATAACCACACAGTCAACCATTTCAACACAAAGGGCTCTGCGTATATTGACAATCATTTTTCTCATCAATTAATCAAGACAAATATCACTAAAATTAAACGTACATTTACCTTATAATCCAGTAAACCCACTCCTAGTATTTTGCCCCTAAGGAATGAAACTGCATGGCTACCAAAAGACTTGTACAAGAATATTCATTGCAGCCTTTTTGTAGCAGAAAAAAATTGAAAGGTCAAATATTTATGGCCAAAATGGATACACAAATACTCATACAATGAAATATCACACAGCAATTTAAATAAAAGAGACAGAGGACCACTGATATATACAATCAACTTAGGTGAATCTCAAAAACATTACGTTAAGAGAAAGAAGCCAGACACAAAAGAATATATACTGTATGACTTCATTTATATGACATTGTAGAATAAGCTAGTCAATGGGGATAGAAAAGAGAAGAGTGGTTGCCTCTTAGGGGGAGGGAGAATAGAAACCGGCACCAAGAAACTTTCTAGGGTGATAGAAATACTTAAGATTTTGATTGGAGTTCTGGTTGCATTGATAAACACATTTGTCAAAACTCATCTCACTATACACTTAAGATACTATACATAATTGTATCTTTAAAAATCATTTTAAAGACATATAATTAACAGAGTTTCCCATGTGAGATAGCTAGTATGTCAACCCAATGAATTGACAACACTGACCAAAAGTTTCTAAAGCTTGGTATTTTAGTTAGCCTAGGCAGTTTGATGATTTCCATTTGGTTTTCTGTACTATTAAGTACATCTCAAGGACACCCGTAATCATCTTTGTGGACCCAAGGGGTCTGGCAACCCCAAAATGGTAATCACTGACCTTTTTTTATTTTTTAGTCTGACCCTAGAGTGTTATTGATAAAGCCTCTGTTAAATATAAACACAATTCTACTAAAGATAAAGGAAAATGGAAACGTAGGAAAGTAAGAAAAATTGTCCTACAATGTTAATAACAATATCTACTTCTAATTTTTGGTTACAATCTTTTCCAGTGGGTAAAAAAAGCACTATGGGTCTCTCTCCTCCAGCTACACCTGATTCTATTTTAACCTCAGCTTTCTATCTCTAACCTTGACTTAACATATCACAAAAACAGATATTTCAGGTATGGACTATAAAGCAACACAGATGGATCTCAAAAACATGATACTGGGAATTCCCTGGCAGTCCAGTGGTTAGGACTCGGCGCTTTCACTGCAGGGGCCCAAGTTCAATCCCTGGTTGAGGAACTAAGACACCCCAAGCCACACAGCGCAGCCAAAAACAAACATGATATTGCATGAAAGAAGCACAATGCAGAATGATATGCTCAGCATGTACCATTTGTGAAAATTTCAGAATGCACACAAGTAATATTATACATTATTCATGACACAGACCACAGACATACGTATATATTATATTTTATTATTATATTACTTTTATGTTATATTACTTATTATATTATATGTACTTTTTTTTAAAAATAAATTTATTTATTTTTGTCTGCTTTGGGTCTTCGTTGCTGTGGGCGGGCCGTCTCCAGTTGCGGTGAGTGGGGGCCACTCTTTGCTGCAGTGCGCAGGCCTCCCACCACGGTGGCCTCTCCCGCCGCGGAGCAGGGGCTCCAGGCGCGCAGACTTCAGCAGGTGCGGCACATGGGTCAGTAGTTGTGGCTCACGGGCCTAGTTGCCCCGGGGCATGCGGGATCCTCCCGGACCAGGGCTGGAACCCAAGTCCCCTGCATTGGCAGGCGGACTCCCAACCACTGCGCCACCAGGGAAGCCCTGTACTTTTTTTTAAATGAACTAGAAAGAAATACACCAAACTCAGAAAGTAGCTGTCGCTGTGGCAAAGAGAAGAACAGCAGGAAGGGTGGTGAAAAAAGGGAAATTTTGCTTTTTTTTATATTTTATTTTGAAGAAAAAAAATGACTGGCAATAAATACAATATGGGTAATTGGACATAATTTTTTGTATTTTTCTGTATTTTTTTTTCCTCAAAATTAAAAAAAGGGGATCTTCCTTGACTAAATAAGGCAACCTAATCATCAAATTTTCAGCATGGGCACATAACAAAAAGATTAGGTCACCTGTAGAAAACTAGAACAATAAACTTGTCATTTATGCATGCACACACACACACACACATGCATCTCAGTGTCTATAATATACATCATATACATAAGAAAACATATATAAAGTGAAACTTGGCAGTTTAAGAGTTGTTAAAAGCACTGATTCTAAGACAGTTCACCAAAAATATATACAGATGACATTTAACCTTATTAAAAGATGTTCAGCTTCAATCATAAGAGATATTAAAATTCACTGAGATACCATTTCTCACCTATCAGGTTGATGAAAGTGAAAAGCTTGACAACACTCAACTGGAAGCTGTGGAAAAACAGGGACCCTCAGACACTGTTGGTGAGAATGCAAAATGGTACAATCACTGTGGAGGGGAATTTGGAAAAACTGTACTAATATATATTGACTCTCTGCCCCAGTCATCTCACTCCCGGGAATTCACCTCTGAAGATACATTTCCAAAAGCACAAAACATATGCAAAATGTTATCATATTAAATGCAGTATTATTTATCATTGTAATATATTGGAAATAACTAAATTCCCATTTATAGGAAATTGTATAAAGTTACATGCTATGCAGTTAATTTAAAAAATGAGAAAGATCACTAAAAGATTTCTGTAAGTGAAAAAAGTAAACTACAAAGAAATAGACTTAGTATTCCACTTCGTGTGTGAAAAGAAACACAGAAAGATAAACCATAAATTAATAAAACTGGTTACCTACAGGGATGGAAATAAGGTACACGGGGTAGGGATAAGAATAAGGTTTGTCAGAATATACCTTTTTATACAGTTTGACTTTTAAATCTTGTAAATGTTTCACATATTCAAAAAATAAAATCAACAAGGATCAAAAAAATGAGTACAAAACCAAAAAACTGAATACAGAAAGAAAGAAATGACTCTAACTTTGCAGTAAGTTTGTAACTACACAGAAAATTAATTCCCGTAGCTTTTGAACACAGTACAGATTATACACCCTTAGTGGTATATATGCTGTGAACAGAAACACTCCAGAGAAATCATGAACTTTACTTAATGGCTTTGTAATTAGAAATGATAATGGTATAGTAATTCTGAAACTATCTTTGTATTAGAAGATTGGGCAAATGAGGTCATACATTGATGCTGCTGTGAAACACGGTTCTCTCTACAGAAGGGAAACACAAATACGGAATGGGAAAAGGTAAGGAAACTGGGCTGAACTAGAGCTATCAGACTTGTCTGATATATATTTATATATTTATTGATACTGATATATTTAAAATTTGGTTTTAAATATATAAGTATTTATTTCCCAGCTCTGTCTACTATAAGGGCCTAGAAGCAATGACACTCCAGAAGATGGGGCAAACAGATATTATGTGCTTCCTGATGTGAAATAAAGGGATGGCTTCAAAATCCACTATTGAAATGACGAGAGAAATTTGAATATGGACTGTGTGTTAGATAACATTATGGAATCACTTAAAATTTCTCATATATAATCATGATATTGTAGTTATACAGGATGTCCTTGTTCATAGGACATGCACACTGAAGTAGTCAGAGGTAAAAATAAGCATCCTGACATCTGCAACTTATTTTCAAAAGGTTGGGGGAGGGGAGAGTATACACATACACACACACACTCAGAGAAAAAGAGCAAACATGGCAAAATGTTAACAGGTAAAGGGAATGTGGGTATTCACCGTACTCATCTTTTGACTTTCATAGAGGGCTGAAATTTCTCAAGATAAAAAGTTGAGGAAAAAGAAAAAAAAAAAACCTCACCAGTTCTGTGGTCCCGGCTCTGCCACTTCCTAGCTATGAAACCAGCTTTGGAAATTAACCTCTGTGCTTCAGCTTACTCACCCCTAACATGAAGATAACAGTGGCATTTATTCATAGGTTGTTGGAGAGATTAAATAAAATGATATGTGGAGAGTGCTTAGCAAGATGGCCTGGAATATGCCACGCCCTCACTGACGTCTGCTATCATCCTCCTCCTCAGCATCATTGCTGTTATGATTATATAATCTCCATCCAAACTCTTACAGGTCAAATGTCACTCAACGGTAGGTTAGAAGTTTGTGCTAGGATAAGCCTGGGAAAATTCATGAAGGCTTCTGCCCTCTCCTTGTTGCAAAACGGAAGTAAAAGCCAACAATGTGAGCTCCTTGAGAAACTAATCGATACCAAAAAGGGACTTGCCAAATCCCGAAGGAGTCCTAAATAAATCCTCAGAACATGTTTTCCTTACTTCTTTATTTAAAAATAATAATAATAAAAGCGAATTCATAGAGCAGTTTAGTTCTGGCTCCTGGAATGAGCTAGAGTAAGGAGAATGAGTATATAAGAGAAAGTCAATTTCTAGAAAAACTCTCCCACATGTGTCCAAAGAGACATGTAACAGATGTTGCCAATACTGTTCAAAACAATTTTAAACAAACTAAAAACAACTCAGTGTCCAACAATAGGGGATGGGATAAACTGTGGTATATGCACACCTTCGAATATTATATAGCCATTAAAGTTAATAATTAGATCTATATGTATCAGCACAGAACTCAAAAAAAATTTAAAGGTAGTCTCAGAATACGTACATTATAAAGCCATGGATATGAATTCTAAAAACACACAAACCAACCTCATATCATTCACACATAGTACAAATGCAGTACAAGTATAAAAACATGTTCAGGAAGGAGATATACCAACCTCTTGATGGTGGTTTCCTCTGAGGAAAGAGGGAGGGGAATGGGACTGGGCAGGGGAACAAATGGGACCACAACTTCCTCAGTGATGTTTTATTTCTTGAAAAAGAAAAGTGATCTGAAGAAACTCTTCTTCTTTCTTTCTTTCTTTTTTCTTTTTAAATTAAAGTATAATTGATTTACAATGTCGTGTTAGTTTCAGGTGTACAGCAAAGTGATTCAGTTATATGCTTTTTCAGATTCTTTTCCCTTATACGCTATTACAGGATATTGAGTATAGTTCCCTGTGCTATACAGTAGGCCTTTGTTGTTTACCTATTTTGTATATAGTAGTGTGTATCTGTTCATCCCAAACTCCTAATTTATTCCCCCACCCCACTTTCCCCTTTGGTAACCATAAGCTTGTTTTCTACGTCTGTGAGGCTGTTTGAAGAAACTCTTAGAGAGTATTTTTCCCATTTGGTAATCAACAGATGGGAAAGGAAAATGCAGGGAACAAGGATGGAGCCTTGTTTTGGACTGAAGCAGGATCGACCCAGGCTTTAGGAACTTGCTATGTTATGCTCCAGCTCATCCTCAGTGGCCTCTCAAGAGAGAAAAAGCCCACCTTCAGGCCCCTTCTGCTGACTCCCCGAGCCTCTCACTCTCAGGAGGCCACGTCCTGAACCCCACAGCAGGCCTGAATCACACCTGATCTGTGGGCCAGGGCACTGGCAAGGCCTCACCCACGGGGCAGCAGGCAGACCTTCAGACTCTAAATGAGGGTCACAAGTTGTCCAAGTGTGGTCCTAACATTTCCCCCCTGGAAAACACTCTCAGGATTCTCTTTTTCTTGCAACTTACCTAACAGAAAGTGTAAAGTCTCCAGGGTTACTTTTACTGGGCCTTGCCAAAAAACTGCCATCAACTCCTCTTGTCAACAGTAGGTTTTCTGCCTCCACGCCAGTGATATTTGGGTGAAACCATCTTGAGAGAGAGAGAAATAGACCAATGAAAAACAAAGGACTCTGTCGGCACTACTTCCCACACCGTCACAGCTAAAATGCTTATTAGTAGAGTAGCAAATAAAAACACCAACCCAATCCCTTTCCCTTCTTCTCTTTGGTCACCGCCTCCTCCTTGTCTTCCCCATGGTAGGAGCCTGGGATCCTGCTAGCACAGTAGATGGGGCTGGGGGCATGGTCAGTGGGATTGGGGCTGAGGTGGGTGCTATTTATATAGGGTGGTGGGGAGGGCCTTAGCAATAAGGTAACATTTGATCAGACCTGGAAGAAAGGAGGCAGCAACATGCAGCCATATAGGAAAGGAACATATCAGGCAGAGGGAGGAACAAGATCAAGGGCACGGGGGCAGACCGTATTTGACATGCTCAAGCACTCAAGAGGCCAGTATGCTTGGAGCAAAACACGCAAGGGACAGAGCAGTAGATGAGGCCAGAGAGGTAATGAAAAGCCTGATGATGCAGGGCCTCAGAGGACACTGTAAAAACTTCAGCTTTTATTTTTTGTGAAATGGGAAAGGACTAGAGGGTTTTAGGCAGAGGAGCAACGTGATCTGACTTATATTTTTAAATCAACTTCAAGCTATCGTGCAAGGGTAGAAGCACATAGATCAGTTAAATAAGCTATTGTGATAATCCAGGCAAGAGATGGTGGTACCAAGGACCAAAGTGGTGGAAGGAGTAGTGATAAACGGTCCAACTGGGAACATTTTAAGGGTAGCCAACAGGATTTCCTAATCTATTACATATGAGATGGGAAAGAAAGAAAGGAGTAAGAACAACTCCTAGGTATCATGTCTGGGCAAGCGGAAGGTTGGCGGTACCACGTATGAGATGTGGAAAAAGGGTGGGGAGAGGAAAAATCAAGTGTTAGATTTGGTACGTGTTAAATCTTTTTTTTTTTTAATTTTTTATTTATTTTTGGCTGCATTGGTACGCGCGGGCTTTCTCTAGCTGCGGCGAGTGGGGGCTGCTCTTCGTTGTGGTGCGCGGGCTTCTCATTGCAGTGGCTTCTCTTGCTGCGGAGCACGGGCTCCAGGTGTGCAGGCTCAGTAGTTGTGGCGCACAGGGTTAGTTGCTCCGCGGCATGTGGGATCTTCCTGCACCAGGGCTCAAACCCATGTCTCCTGCATTGGCAGGCGGATTCTTAACTACTGCGCCACCAGGGAAAGAAGCCCTGGTACATGTTAAATATGAGATGCTTAATCATCTGAGTGTCTGGTACATATTAAGCACTAATGGTTAGATATTACTGACAATCATGACAATAACTATAAGATTGTTCTGACAAGAAATAATCAGAAAAGGCAAGAACCTAGACATAGTCTATCAACATTCCTGTTGTTTACATTAACTGAAATTTATTTTCTTTTTAATTTTTCCTATAGCATTTTACTAGCATTTTGGGGGAAATCTAAACATCATTCTGATTATCCTAGAGAAAAATCACAGGGTTCAGATCAAAAGGAAAAAAATATTAGTTTGCTCTTTACTCCCTCTGAGAGCTTGTCAGAAGACTGAGGCAGAATTTTATCCAGGGAAAACTCAACCTCAATTTATAAGATACCTATCATTCCAGCATCCAATACTTTTGTATACAGTATGATTACTAAACTATCCTTTTTTTTTTTTTTAAATCTTGTGCACAGCTTCTTTAATCTATGGTTCCCACCTGAGTCCCCACAGTCCTAGGGAATCAAAAAGCAATAACAGAAGGCTTCCAGTTACTTTTAACTTTTCAAAAAGTATAGTGAAAATCTTATGTTAATCTTCAATTTGTCTACTTGTATAAGCTAGTTAAAATGTCAAATCTCTCTTGCTTTTGGCTACAAAACAATTATGTTACTTGGTGTGGTAGCCTGAAGCTGAGTGGCATATATGTTTTCTTCTACAACAAAAAGGGAAAACTAATTATTATATGATGAATACAGGTTAGGAAACAATTCTCTTTAGAATACTGGGTTTATGGTTTAAAAAAAAAAAAAAAAAGAGGAGACCCCAGAAGTAAAAAAGCTGAGAATCGCTGGCATGTGGTGGCAAAGTTTTATGGGTAGGAGCACGGACTCTGGAACCGGACTACTTTGGTTCAGATCCCAGCTCTGTGTGATCCCAGGCTAGTTATTTAAACTGTTAACTCATCTATAAAATGGGAATAGCAACGGCACTGTGTCATAGGGTGTTGAGAGGATAAAATGAGTTAATATTTATAAAGTGTCTATAACAGTGCCTGGACTTCAGGGTAGCCAAGGACAATGATGACTGCCTAAATTCACATCTTCCCACATATCCTTCAAAAACAATACAGGGGACTTCCCTGGCAGTCCAGTGGTTAAGACTCTACGCTTCCAATGCAGGGGGCGTGGGTTCAATCCCCATGCCACACAGTGTGGCCAGAATAAATAAATAAATAATTTTAAAAAATTAAAAACTAAGGGGAAATTTTTTTTAAATATGGAATTTTTAAAAAAGAACAAGTAAAACCACACAATAACCTAACCATGCCCTCAACAAAAGTAGAAGACAGAGAATGCCCAAACTTCCAAATTACCTGTAAGTAAAAAAAGAAGACATACCAAATCTCAGTAGTGATCTCTCATCTTCTTATTGCAACCCTCTGTGCCAAGCCAAGGGCATTCTGAGAAAAAGTGCATGTCAGAGAGAACAGGGGAGCTAGTGGCAGGCCTAAAATTGCTGTAAAACCACCTCCAGAAAAAGAAAGTCCACCCTAAGTGTGAAAATATTGAAAAAGTTTTCTTGTAGATCAGAGCCCTATTTATAGGAAAGGGGAATGATTTAAGGTGTAGTGTTAGAAATGCATGGTCTCTGGGGAAGAAAAAGGCAAAAAAGATACAGGATCCATTTGGCAATTAGGTGACAAAAAGGAAAGGAAGTAGAAGGGGGAAATTTATTTACCTGCAAACAAACAAACAAAAAACCCAGAGGACAAATAACCTCTCCCCTACCACAAACACAAATACATACACAAATCCACTAAAAAAAAAAAACCTGGACTTTTCTATACTGACAGAAGAAAATGCCATTGAATTAGGAACCTTTAAAATATTTAAGAGCCACAAAATAAATAGGAAAAAAGTGAATAAGTCTATATAAAGTTACTACAAAAAAGAAGAGTCACACATCAGTCAGCTTTTGAAAATTACCCCAGACAAACACCCATGATGCAGAAGAAAACTATGAGACAACACTCCAATCTGAATTAAATATACTCAAGATTTGGGGATATGAAAAAACACTCTGAATAAGAAATTTAAAAGTTAAAAACAGATATGGACAGGGCTTCCCTGGTGGCGCAGTGGTTGAGAGTCCGCCTGCCGATGCAGGGGACACGGGTTTGTGCCCTGGTCTGGGAAGATCCCACATGCCGTGGAGCGGCTGGGCCCGTGAGCCATGGCTGCTGGGCCTGCGCGTCCGGAGCCTGTGCTCCGCAATGGGAGAGGCCACAACAGTGAGAGGCCCGCGTACCACAAAAAAAAAAACAAAAACAGAAACAAAAACAGAAATGGACAAAAAAGTAGGAAAAAATGAAGAGGGAGTTGATCAAACTCACAAAGAAAAAGGAAAAGAAAATCATCTCAGAAATGAAAACTAAATTACTAGGCACCCAAAGGAGAATAAGTTCAAATGAAAATCTAATAAGTGGCATTAAAGAAAGGGAGGAAAACAATGAAGAGAATAAAATATGATGAAGAAAGAAATAAAAGAGATCACAAAGAAAATGGTTAATATGAAAGACAAGCAAAGAAGAAACAACATACATATAATTGGGGTAAGGGGAGAGGGGAAACGCAATGGAACAGAACAAATATTTAAACCTAAATTGAGAAAACAAATAAAATAAGATGTGAATCTATACATTGGAAAGGACCACCAGGTACTTGGGAAAATTAGCCCAGAATAATTGCTCTGGCACTTGTTCTAATGAAACTATTACGCTTTAAAGACAAATGGAAAAATATCTTCAAAGCCTCCACGAAAAACAAATAACTTACTGTAACAAATTAGATTAGCATCTGACTTTTCAAAGCCAACATATAAAGCAAGTTGATAAATGAACAAGCATTTTTTAAAAACTCAATGAAAGAAAAGGGTAAACTAAGAATTTTATATCCAGCTAAGTTATCCTTCAACTATCAGCGCTACAGACAAAACAAGTTTCAACATACAACAACTAAGGGAATGCTGTACTTATCAGTCTTTCCTGATGAATCTACTAGAGGAAAAACTTTATCTATCTATCTTGTTGTAACAAGCAACATTGACAAAATAACCGATGGTGAGCATTTAATAATCTATAAATGTCATGTAAGACTAAAACAAAGATGGGAATGAGAGTAGAAAACTAATGTACGACAGTTATATACTGTGACACAGTAGAATTACTACAACTAGAAAATGGGAAAAGGAAAACAGAAAAAAACTCATTGTTGTATAGGCAACAGGCAATAGATGGGTGTTTAAGGATAATGAAAAAAATCTGATAAGCCTGATAATAAAAGTCAAATAACAAAACAGAGGACTAAGGACATTCAAAAAGGTGTAACTACTAGATTAAAAAAAATACAAACCTTCCTAAATACCCCCTCAAAAAACTGTTTTCAACAAAAAATTTTTAAATATACATCTTAGAAAAAAATTATATATATATATATAATATATATATACACACACACACACACACACACGTACATACACACACACATCTTGTGAGAAACAATGCAAGGAAACACTACCCACGAACAACATGGGCTTTAGAGGCACCGATCCTTGCGCAATTGAAAATTCATATATAACTTTATAGTCAGCCCTCTATATCCACAGTTCTGCTTCCAACTGCATGGTTTCAACCAACGGCAGATTGTATCATACTGTGCTACATATTTATCGAAAAAAATCCGTGCATAAGTGGACCCGTGCAGTTCAAACTTGCGTTGTTCAAGGGTCAACT